CGCTTGCCTAATTACTGTCATTCATCCTTTATCAATGAGAAGTGGTGGAAGCAGCTGCTACCGGGTGGCTGCGTTCTCATATGCATGCAAATATATAATATGTACACATGCACACACACACACACACTGATAAACATACACTGCACAGAAAATATCGCTTGGTTAGAAAAAGGTGTTGGAGAAATGAGGAAAGTTTTTACATATTACCTTTCTAAGTGATCTTCTGCCAATAATGCACGTCTGTATTTGGTATTCCCACGCTTTCTTGTAGATCACAGTGTAGTGTACTAAGCCTGTGTGTGTGTGTGGGGTGGGGGGGGGTGATGTGCAGGAATCTATTTAAGGCTGTCTTTCTGACACCGAGGTGATGGCATATTTTATTAGCTCGTGCTCAGGGACCGGCGAGAATCTCACCTGAGAACTCAACTGTGACATTGTGGATCCTGAACTTCTTTGTTCCTTCTCATCTGTCTTCCGATCCAGTTTCAGCTCCTTCGAATCCTCCTGCCTGCGTCTCTCCCCGCCCACCCCCTTTCCACACCTTAATCCCTCTGTCATTCTTACTTCACTTCTCTCCTGCCTCAATCCTTCCAACCCCTCACTTTGCTTGGGCCTTCTCGTTGCATTTCCAACCTCAGGTGCCTGTTATCTGTAAAATGATCCCTGCACGCTGTGCCTCCTCCTACAAACCAACCTCCTCTCATGACAACTGGCTAATTAGGTGTCACCACAGAAAATGAAAGGTAAACGGACTGTAGATACGGCAAAGCCATAAAGCTGTCAACTGTCTCACTTTTGGAAAGAGAGGAGGAGAATTGGAAAAAAGGGAGATGAGGTAGATTAGGTGTAGAGGTCAGTAAAAGAGTGAAGAGCGTTGGAAGGACGATGAACGGATGAAGGGATTGGGAGGAATTAAGAGGTAGGAGGACGGTAAGCTAGATAAATGCGGGTAAAAACGAGAAGATGAGAGAAGAATAGATATGCGCTAAGAGACGTGGGAGGGGAGAAGGTGAGAAAGTGATGCGAGAGGCAAAGGCCACCGCTGCCGTTCCCTGTGGCCGCTAATAAAATGCTCCAGTCAGACCTCTTGTGTGTGCACACATGCATGAGGAAATACACACACACACACACACACACAAAGGGCAGGTAGACTTCCTGATCGATTGAGCTATGCCCTGCTCTGACGTCTCAGCAGGCCTCAAGATGAATGAGTTGACCTACGAAGGAAAAGAGAAAGAGGAAAAAAACAAACCTTTGGCTTTTAAGTCTCAGAGGTTTGTGTCATGTTAGTCACAGGGTGGGAGGGTGCAGTGTGTTTATCAGCTCTTCTGCCTGCTTCTTCCTGTTCTTGTGTGTGTGTGTGTGTGTGTGTGTGTGTGTGTGTGTGTGTGTGTGTGTGTGTGTGTGTGTGTGTGTGTGTGTGTGTGTGGCGTGCAACCATGTTCATACAAATACTGTATTTTGTGTAGGAAACTTCTTGTCACACAAATCCATTTTAATTCTTTTTTATAAATTCACCATTAACACAAAAATATTTATACTTACTGTATCTGAAAACTTTAATCCACTCCTGCAACAATATAAATAACATTTTGATAGTTATGTATTCATTTATTTTTCAAACTGGCTTACACTTAAGCGACCTCTTGCAGCCATAAGAGTAAATACTGTCCTCTAATCAACAAAGGCAGAAGTACAGTGGTACTGTTATACCGTTGCAAAATGGGAGACTGTATTTTATGTCAATGTTGGTTTCTTCCTTTAACCATAACAGTGATGTTTTCCTAACCTTTCACTGTGTAGTTTTAGCTGTCTAAACATAACCAAACAGTAGCCATGTCTGATCAAAAAGCACTCAAATTTTGTTTTTGTCATTTTTCTGGTGAATCTCATCTTGTAGGAAAAAAAGTGTAAGAAGCTCTTCAGATGCATAAAATAATAAGTCTGGACTCACGTTTCAGTCCATGACTGAAACATTCACTTTTTTGTCACCTTTTTCATATTTTGTGTATTTTTTCACCTTTAATAAATTTGTTTTCCAAACTATTCTACTTTTTATTTGACAAGTACATTCATAGTATATATAAATATAAACACTTTGTAAAAGATAGGATTGTTGTGCATTCTGAAGAGTGTCATTTGACTGCTTTGCTTTGTATCATACATGCGGGTGTATGTTATGTCTAGCTGTGTATCTCCATGTGTCGTCGACTGCGTAAATCCCTGTGTCTTGAACTGAGCCATAGCTAAAGACAGATTTGAGCTGCTCCTTCTCAACCCAGCACTTGAGACCCATCCATCACCTCTCAGCTGATGGTCCACCACTGGCCAGCCTGTCACTGCCACTCAGACAAGGCAACACTCACACAGCAGCCAAGAGAATGACTGTTGCTCACTGAAAAGGGCACATCGACTAATAATTGGAACTGTGCCTATACTGAGCTCAAGGCTAATTAGCCACCAAACGTGTGACCTCCATACTAATAGAGGATATTTTGTGAGCAGCTTTTTCAGTCTGCAGCAGGTAGCTGACAACAGACGCGTCTACCATTCACATTTCCTTTGGTACAATCATGAAACGTTAACATAATATAATCACTCTCACAAATATTCAGTGATGATATTAATTCTTCATTAAGGCAATTAGGGACAAGAGCATCCAATCAATCAATCTCATTAGCTTCTTTGTCAAGTAGTCCGTCTCCTATCCCTGCATGGCATACAGTATTTATTTCTGTGATGCTTATTTAGTGTCAGTGCTTATTTAAGTCAGGCATAGCTGTGAAAATGCCCGCTCACAGATGGCTTCCTATTACGTTCCATATAGAACATATAAATGAGAATATTAGTCAAGGAGATGATGATTACGCTGTTTCATGAGAATGGCTGTAATTTCCTATGCACAGTAATAATGACAGACAGCAATTCCATGTTTAAGAGAACGGCAGGTACTGTGCGTGACAGTAATTCTGTGGCTGTAAATGTGACTATTTATCAATCTCAAACACACACAAACACACACACAAAACACCTGTCTGCTGAACTTACAGTCCTTGCCACACAAGCCCTGAAACCATCTCTGAAGTAAGCATGGGTCAAGAAAATCACTGAGAATGCTTCTGAAATTTGAGGGGTGCACAGTAGCTACAGCAAAGACTCTGTATGGGCAGGAAATGGTAATAAAAAATAGCATACTGAACATAGTTAATACAAGCTGAGTGCTAAATTTGATCTTGTAATGTGATAACTTTTTTTCAGTAACGAGTAGTGTAAGGGATTCCAATTTCAGTTCATATTCATTTTGACTTGTTGGCATCTACCAAAAGAGGATAAATTTGACTCCTGGTAACTAAGTTTTTGTATTTACATGTTAGGTGGCTTGCTAATATTTGCTTTTTTTAGGAATCAGATGGATTAGCTGATGTGGTTCAGAGTTGGAGCATGTGTGAACCCTGCAGCTGTGTTGTGAGAACAGGACTATGGTTACGTGGTGCCATTGCTCTGAAACTCCAATAGTCATTTTCCAGAATAAACGTCCATTGCTTCAAAGGCCAAAATCCAAAATGTCTGTCTTCTGGTTGGGTTTAAAAAAAATTTAAAAAATGTGGAGGGGACATGTATGCCAAGTTTCATGAGTTTTTCGAGCACCATGAGGCCCCCAACAATGCGATTCATTTAGTGGGAAAAAAATCCTTGCATAGGGCCTTCACACCAGTCGGTGTTTGGGTCTTAATTCCCCGAGAGTCAGTGTGTTTGTGTGTGTGTGTGTTTTCTCAGAGTTAGGACTAAGATTCAGGGGTCAGGATTGGTCAGGTTTTTGAGCAGTTATTTGAAATAGAGTGTAATTCTGGTCATTCATTCTGGTCATGCAGCAGTACACACACACACACACACACACACACACACACACACACACACACAAAGGTGGTATCGTCAAAATGTATTGCTAACTGTAAGTGTGTAACTCTAACTGTAAGTGTGATGAGGTATAATGTGACTATGGGCCAATTAGCAGAGACAGTGGTTAAAAGTTTTCTTACAAAGTCATTTGAGGGAGCCTCTATATTAGTCTGAGGGTGCTTAGCACTTTCAACCACCCCTGAAGAACTGTGCCTGCTTTGAAGCTGCCATTTCCAGACAGGAACGGATGCCAGAAAGACAAAAAGCACCTGTACACACTTGCATGCACTCACACGTTTTGCAAACCCACCCCCCAACCCCCCTTCACACACACTCCCATGTACAGTAACCTGAGGGGAACATCACTCAAACCACTGAAGAGCAACAGGAGGTGATTACTGTGATCTAGCCATACTCTTCTTGTACTCCAGTAATGGAGCCGGCCACAGTGATGCCTGTTGAGTTGATGTTTTAAGAGCTTTAATGGACTGCTGAGCCACAGATGAGAGCTCGGTCTCCGCTGCACTATTTTGATGATGTACTCATATATATATATACTCTGTGATATGATGTTAGCCTCTTGGATAAATACCTTGAGAGTTGTAGCCTATGGAAGTATGAGGTGTGCCATTTTTAGCCAAATGAGAATTCAGATTATCTATGGATGACAATGTTGGACAGTTCAAAGTAGTTCCGTCACAGTGGTCCCTAGAGACTGGTAGTGCTTATAAACTAGTCTTGTGTGTTGATTACTGCTTGAGTAACACACAAACATTGCATCTAGGGTGTTTTAAAGGCACCATTATTATGTTGTCTGAAGGCTACAATCACATTATTGCTGGAGTTGGAGACAGTTTAAGTGTGCTTTTACAAGCAATGTTCTAAAAGAGCAATGGCTGGTGATTTAGTCTATCTTTAGTCTATCTCTATTATAGATAATGCTGTGTAGCTCTCCCAAAGGCTGCATTAGTTGCTCAGATTCCTTTGTATCTCCTTTAACTTCACAATCCCTTTCTTCAGTACATTTGCTTTATGCAAGTCCTTTTCTTTTCCCCTTATGTCTTGCTTCCCTCCTTACTTTTTTACAGTCCCCTCTGTGCCACAGCCTTGTGTAGTCTGGTGTAGCAGATTCAATATTGATGAAGTGAATCGATCAGAAGAGCACCACCCTTCCCTTTCTGATACGGTAGGTCTTGAATAATCTATCCCTCATCCAATATTCTGATACAAGCAATAACTGGCTAAAGTTAAAGATTGCTTCCACTTTCAGATCATAGTCTCCTGAGCAAAGAATTCTGACTGTTGAGACTTAATTTATTTAATGTTTGAACTACAATTTACTTTAGTTGTTGCAAGGTAATACTCCCACATTAGATTAAACTGATAATAGCACAAACTGACTTACAGGTGCAGACACATATTCACCTCTGAATAACAGAAGCAATTGCTGAGGCCAATTAGCACCATGCTATATATAATCCTACAGAGATTAATCAGATTAGTCAAGCAGTTATGACTAAAGTTTGAGAATGGTTTGACCTTCAATTTACAGATCTGACTTTTATTTATAGCACTCCCCGTTCAGACACAGACAGTGGTCAAGACAATGCAATAACGAACAAAATTATTATATATGTGGGATGAGAGATGCTTTCTAATTAGTGAGAAAATAAAGGTAGGAAGAGAATCGTGGCAACTTTTCCTTAGTTTTGACTCCACTGACACTATGGTATGTTCCTTTATATCTCCGCATCATTTTGTGTCAAGCCTCTGCCGTTAAAAGTCGGGGTTTAATCTCAACTTGTGGCCACAAGAGACTTCGCCACAGAAGTGATCCTTGACTGTAGCACCTCCAGTAATCACACAGGATTATGTGACTGTTGGTCTAATATGGAGCAATATCAATAGTTTGCTCTACATCTGCCTCGCCTGGAATTTAACTAGATACGAGATACTCTGATGATTGCCTTTTCCCTCAGAGACTCTAAACTGAGTTACGTTTTAATCTTCCATCGAATCTAAGCACTATGATTTACAGTATCTAAATTAAATGAAGTGGTCTGCTACCGCAAAACTGATGCAGTGAAACAGATCTGGCAGAGGAGTAATTGTGGGAAATTAAAGTTGTGCTCTGTGTTCTGTGTTGTTCACTCTATATAAAAGAAATTGAATTACTCAAACACTGTGCCGTGCAAACACAGTGACATCCGGCTGGCTGTGGCCTGTAGGGCAGCAACAGTTTGGTTGCACGACATTCAAACTATGGTTGACAATTACCCACAATTCCACCATAGCTGCTCCTGAGGGACTTTGACTGAACTCAACCAGAGCAGCTTTTTATCACAGACAAGCAATTATTAAATTGAATATAATTCCATAATGGCAGACTGGTTGTTTGCTCATACTTGTTAATCTGGCCGCTAACAGTTTGTTTGTGTTCCCTTAATCCTTTGACAACAAGCCGGTGATGATGGTAATCAGCCTTAATTGTGAATTTGATGTGATTTTGAAATTAAGACCGAGAGTAAGCTCAGAACAGCTCACAGCTCAGGCCATATCCGAATAAGTCTGATTGTTATTGATTGGCTTGAAGCATTGTGTGATTGTGTTGTGAGATATTTCTGTAACGCAGCGACATAAACAAGTATAAACACTCACACACGCAACCACACCAAAGACAATGTTGTCAGATGAAATGTTAATCATTCCCTTCCCCGTGAGGACTTGAGAAGTAAACAGGGCTTATATAAATGTTCTCATGCACTCCAACACTTGTGCAGCACTTGTAAGTAAGACAACAAGCAGATAAGATCAAATAAATGCATGCTCTTGGTCTTCTTTTTGTCTTCACATTAATGTGGCCAGTCATGGAAAATATGCAGAGGACAGTGGCAGAAAAAGCCCACACACCCCTTGCCAAAATGCACACATACACACTTAAACACACACACACACACACACACACACACACACACTTGCACTTTACTGCAGCAGGGTAGAGGTCTCGGAGACAGGAGTGTGTGTGATGATGGATGTGTTGTATCTACTTCCTCCAGACAGCCGGTCTGCAGTGTGGACAGAGGGACAGGGAAGGCCAACGGTCAACACACACTTTAGCCCCTATTTTAACTTGTATGTGTGTGACTGTGTGTGCATGTATGTGTGTCAGTGCACATCCTGGCTGCTGTCCTGTCTCTGTCTCTGACCATGGTTCCTCTGGTGGAGGACTCCAAGCCACATTCTCCCTTCCCATCTGCCCCGGCACCGCCTTTGCGTCCCTCGGCTTGCCGTACTGACAGGCAAAGTTGCCAAGGTGATGGATGACTATGCGCTCAGTTTCAGTGTCAGAGTCCTGCACCTCTGCTACCTGCCGCGTGGGTCCCTGTCAAAGACTTCCTGTCGGGTCAGCTATACTCTGTCTCCCTCCCCCCCTCCCCTCTTTTTATCTAGCTCTTCATCTTCATCTTGCAGCTCTCCCATCTCTCCTTTATTTAGCTCACTACTGGGACCTATTTGAAAGGCTGGAGCAGAGTGTAAAATTTTTCCAGAAATAGGTTGTCAACCTGATAACTTTTGAAGATCCGCTGAACAAAGACACTGATTGTGCTGCATAAATGCTCTCTCATATCACACAGCGCAACATTTTCCTTCAAAGTAATTCTCTTTCAATCAGTTAGATTGGTTGAGTCAATGAAGAGTTTAGATACAAAGCATGGTAATGAAGGCATTTTCCTTAATGAGCTGCATGATGTGAAGTCACCGCTCCCTTTTTTGCCGATAAATTGTGCACGTGTGGAAGTGTGTGAATGTCTATGTGTGATGCCGTGAGTGCACCTCCGTTTGTCAATGTGCAGTCGCGTGTTCATTATACAGCAAGCTTCCTTCAGAGTGACCCCAGTTTTACGCCCCGCATTTTAAATACTGGCCTTTTGCAATAAGGTCCATAAGCAAAGCACTCATGAGCTTTGTCTGTGAATGTAATTAGCCAATTAGTCTGTTCTTTATTAGAGACCAGCAGCAGCCATGCGTTTCGGCTACCCGGGACTAGTTAGTGTGTTCTAATGAGCCTTTAGCTTCCAACCAGAAGCCCTGTCAAGCATTATTAATAAAGAGGCTATTTGTGCAGGCCTTCCAGTTCAAACACTGTTAATACCAGAGAGCCATGCTTATTAAGATTTATCTGCAAGCTCCATGAACAAGGTTGCACTGTAAAACCTGAATAAGGTGAAAAGGAGAAAAGGGACTCATTCATCTTGCATTATAATTTTTATTATTCAAAAACCAACATTTTTTTTTATATTTGTTGTTGTATCTTTCCTGTGATTTCCAGTACAACTATCTCCATAATATAACAAGCAGAGATATGTTTTCTGAAACATCTACTATAAATGTCCTCAGGCAGTTTTACAATTATTTTCATATTATATCCGCATTTTCCCAAACCATTGTATTACACTATTAAACTGTCAGTGGGAACAACGGAAAGCAAAGACATGTGGAATTACTTATTCTTTATGTGGCGAAGAGGATAATATATTTAGGATTCAATTCTCCATGCTGTAGTATTGCACTGTAATCATAACAGACTTGATATGCTAATAACAAAAGCAATTTGTGACAGGTTAGTTTTAGAATAATTGGTGTAGGATTTCTCTGAGCTTTGAATTGATCAAAGAGACAGTGGATGAATAAAGACATAGAAACTGCCGTCACCATGCTTGAAGGTCGAGCTTTGAAAATGATTTAAAACACCAATACCAAGTACTAGTATTACCACCACTACCACAAACTGCAAATTGCACAGGACTGGATGATAAGCCAATCTGTAAACCAAGTCCTGTCAGCATATCTTTAAGTATCATATTCACATAGTCAGATTACAAAGAGGATGAACAGCAGTTTTACTCACCAATCTGAAGAGAGAATAACTGAACACCCCTAATGAGATGACAATAATAATGTTAGTCAATATAATTTGTCTTCATTAATTAAGGGATTTTATGTCTCAAGAATAATGTAGGCGCTCTAGTAAAATGTTTCATAGTACCTGGAAATGCTTATTTAAAGTGTTTGCCAACAGAGAATATCTACCAGCTGAAAACTACTAAACAATAATAGATTTACAAATTGACAATTAACAGTTGAGTGCAAGCAGTTTACACTCTTCACACTGATTGGTGTTATATACTGACAGGAATATAACTTCCTGCCACCACTGGCAGTATTGAAAGCAATGCCACAGAGCAGCTTCTGGTGACATTTTGCACCATCTTGGATTGTATATGGGTGGTATTGACTTTATACGTTTGTCCAACTCTGTAACTTTGTCTTCTAACTTCCTCAGCACTGTAAGTGGTCACATTGTGTACACTGTCATCTTCTACTTGTGATCACCTTGAGCCCACATTTCAATCAGTTTTAGTTTTGTAATATAACCTAATTAGAGCAGTTCTCCACCCACACAGCACTGGGATCAGCTGGTCATGTTACTGTTATAGTAGTCATGGTAACTGGTTAGAATTAGTTGATATTTATGTTTTATTATGTTTATTTATATAACAATATGATATTATAACACAGGTTGTCTAAGTGTGGCCATTCAAAACAACAACAACATTACTTCATCCAAAACAAAGAGTACATTTATCACCACTGAATGAGATGATAGATAGATCAGAGATGTGGTTATATATTGTGGTTGCTACTATATTCTACACTATATAATGTCTCTGTTTGTATGGGGCTCTTGTGGGCAACACTGCAAATCAATGAGCAGGACTGCTTTATGGCAATATTGGATTTTCATGAGTTTTGGATCAATGAGATGCCTTGATTTCTCAGTTATTTAATTTGCTGGATGAGCTAAAATGAGATATTCCTATTTACCCATAAACACTTTCTCAATTGATTTTCTCAAAAGTGTATTATATCATGACATATACCCATATTGCGATAAAATAACATTTACCCTGGTCGAGGATTTTATTCATATCACCCAACCCTCTACCTCAATAAACCCCATACTGTGGTTTATTGTTAATATTCCAGTGCAGTAATTGTTCAAGAAGAAGCTGCCAGAGTGACCTGGTTAGATGCAGAGCTTGCAGTATAGCTGAACCTTATACACCCTTCCTACTGGATGTGTAGCCTGCATCACGGCACAAGTATCCCAACTGTATGTACATTCTGCATAACAGCAGTCAAGACCCCAGCTTATCTCAGACGCACAACTGTGTAAACCACCTGGGACTCTTTACAGTCTGAAATGTGACTGCTGCCTCTCATTTTCTCTCTCTCTCTCTCTCTCTCTCTCTCTCTCTCTCTCTCTCTCTCTCTCTCTCTCTCTCCACACAGGCTCTCTCCACAACACAGAGATGAGTGATGCTGTCTCTGCCTCATCTTTGACTGGCAGAATAAACACTGTTACCACAACAGCAATGCTGGGAGACAAACTACAAGCAACAACAGAGGTAGACAGACACACCACAACTGTGACAGTATATGGCAGGAGAGATAAAGGTGTAACAGTGTTAGCAGAGATAGTTGTGTGAGCCCAGTGATGATAACAGAGTTAGGAGGCAGATATACAACCGTGATAGTATGAGAGAAGATACACAATATAATATATGAATATGACAGTAAAGGAGGAGGTCTGGGTGGGGAAACTTTGATGATAGTTGGTAGAGGCAGTGACAGTAGGGTTTGTATTTTACTTTGCCACTGTTCTGAGCATATCATTACTGGGGGGAAGATGGGATATTGAAAGAGATCTTAGATGTACAGATAAACATTCACATGGTGTTTAGTGCAAAACAGGCATGCTATTAGTACACCCAGCCACTCAGGAAAACCAAACTAGCATTACAGCAACCTTTTTAAGTCCCACCTTGCTCTTTGCTGCCTGTAATTAACACAAGAAAGATGGATCCAAACAAAAAAGTAAAAGAGGGAATGGGTAAAGCAGCAGGAGTGAAAAGCAAACAGGAGCGGAAGATGGAGATGAAACACTGGAGGCAAAGCAGAAGAAGGAAATTTGCACAAGAACTGTAAAGCATGCCAGACAAACGCAGCAAGGATAGAAAGACTAAAAGCAACAAACAAAAACGTTGGGATAGAAAAGAGAAGCAGTGAGAGGCAGCACAAACAGAAAGAGATAAAGAAAGACTGACAGGCCAAAAGGGAGACCACAGAAATGTACATACCGCCGGGCTGATATTGTCATTCTGTGCAGCAGCCCAGCTCCAATGTGCTGATTATGAGAGCATCATTTGAGACTGACAACCTTGTTCCTATAGTACAGCATGCCAAACACATTCCCAGCCCCCATCTTTCTCTCTCTGCGTACTCCCCCTGTGCTCACACAATAGCCGTCTGATGAAGACTGAATGATTGGAGGGGGAACGAAGTGAAACGTGAAAGAGTAACAGAAAAACACACACTTGGAGAGGCTGGTGATGCAGAGAGCACAAAAAAAAAAAAAAAGATAGAGAAAGAGAAAGAGAAAGAGTGGAGAGGAGGTGTGGAGAACAGGGGCTCAATGCAGCTGCAATTAAGGGAGCGATTTTGTGCCAGAGAATATGCTAATTCCTCCTTTGTGTGAGCAGTTGATTGGCCATTGCTCTGCACACCAGGCAGTGAGAGGAGGGGAAGTGGTGGGCTTGGACGCCTCTGTCTGGCACAGCGTCCATCACAGGCCTCATTTAGCTACACCGTTGCAGTTAGCAGCATCGGAGGAAAAAAGACACACTTTTTGTCAGACGTCTCTCCGTGCATCGGCGTGTACATCCAAGGGATGTAAGGAAAGAGATGCTAGCTCAATTAGCAAGCTCCAGAGACTGAGACCGGAACAAAGATACTCATTAATAGTCACGTATGACCTTTATATATATGAGCTGAGGCTCAATCCACTGAAGACTGGTTGTAATTTTGGACCTGAGGGATTGTGGGAATATTGGAGGACCTGAGGCTGCATGAGAGGAAAATGAAGCTACTGTGCAGTGGATTTTGGTAAGGCTGAACCAAGAGATAATATATTGCATTTTACAGATACATTTACAAAAATAAAAAAGTGTGTATGTATTTTTAGCTCCAGTATAAGAACAGATTGAGCACATGCAGACTTATATGCTGTCTGATTCATGATCCATAATATTGCTGAGACATGTTGTCATTCACCATATTGCCTCCCCAGCATTACACACAATTAGACACCCTATTGAGAAAGGTGGAGGCAATACATCACAAGGCAGCATCAGCCTGTCAGCTGTGTGGTTGGTGATGAGCTCCCCTTGCACAATTTGCACGTGTTCCTATCATAACGCACAGTACGGACTTGAACAGTGAACTAATGGGAAAAATGAGCCGCTATCACTAATGCTGATCAAGCAGTCCTGGCTGATATAGTTATTTATTCTAGCATATACTGTGGCCATGCCTCACACATAATAGGTTTTATGTTTTGAAGGTGACATTTATTAAGAAATCTAACAGCTATGATTGCATTTAGAATTAAAAAAACATTTGTTCTGATCTATAATTAATTACCAATGCAGGGCAAAGTATAATATAGAGTTGTAATTCCTAATTTAAGATTATTGACTGAAGCCTGATTCTGCTGCAATGTGGGATGGAACAGGTGTGGCAAAATTATTATATGTGCTCTCCTTAAATGATTACATACATTCAATTTCAAATGTCAATTTCTTCTCAGCTCACCCTACTTACATAACTTGTTATTTTGCTTTATCTAGAAATTTGGTTAAAAGGGGTTCAGTTCATTTTCTTCTTTGAATTTACTCAGGTCAATCACATTTATATCAATATGGGTAGATATTAGAAATGCTTTTCAGTTTACCTCAACACAATTCAACAGCACCACAAACAACCTCAAAAATGACAATGGTGTTAAATGTCCCTAATGGCCCTAAAATAGTTTCAACAAGAACTAAACGTTATAACCTTCATGAAGGTAGGGTTTATTGCAGGGCTGCTGCATTATACTGTATTACTTTTAGCTGGTGTACCTAATAAACTCTGGCAACTGAGTGCATAAATAATGATGTTATGCTATGCGATATTCAGAACCAGCCAAGCCCCCATCTCCTTTTTTGTTCTCAGCAAGGTGTTGTGAAACAAAGCAGCACCTGAACACACAAAGTAGGTTGCTAGCTATATCCTGCTAATGCTGGCTCTCCAAAACATCAAGTAAAATATGCTGAAGTTTGATGGTTGCAGTTTAGCAAACGGCTGGACTCACATGCACTATGCATGCAGACTTGCACATTGAAGAATGAGCTGGTTGGTCAGAGATGATTCTAGAGAGTTCATTTTAAATATACATATAAAACAAAGCACTAAAAAATTGACTACATAAGCTAATATATCAGAAATGCTCTCTCCCTCTCTTTGTCTTTGTTTCTGACATCATCCCTCAGTTGGGTGGAGCGACCAGCTCCATCACCATCTGGTCCCAGAAGAAGGAGGCACAGCAGTGCTTTCACGATGTACGCCCACTCACCAACCCACAACACACACACACACACACACACACACACCTACACACACACACACACACACACACACACACACACACACACACACACACACACATACACACAGAGAACTTTACTCTAAGGTAAAAGCCAAGATCCTGCAGGAGCACCTACGTGAACACACATAAACGCCAACACACATGCTGGCACCAATAGGAGCATTCACAAGCACACACAGGGACATGCAGACTTTACCACCCACTCCTTCTACAACGTGCAGTCCATCTGCTCACTGTACCACTCTCTCCATGGATTTAGATGGCCGAGTCCAATATGTGACTTACCAGCCTGTTCTTACAGTCCCAATATGTGCAGGTGTCTGAGGTACACACACAAACCAGGCTGACCAATACATTGGCATGACCAAAATGTATGGCTGATTTTAGTTTATCTCACATATGATAACAAGAAATGCCAAATAAAGCTGAGACAATTAATCCATCAGGGGATCGATAGAAAATTAATCTGCAGCTATTTTTAAAATTATCGTTAATTTTTTTTTATAGCAATAATGCCAAACATTCATTGGTTCCAGATTCTCAGTTGTCAAGATTTGTTGTATATCTTTGTCTTATGTGGGATAATTAACTGAATATATTTGGTTTTGGTTTGTTTTGTGAGTTAGACTGAAAAAGCTATTTGAGGGTTTAAGTAAATAGTTACAGACATTTTTTGTAGATGATAATAATGAAAAAAGTTTATTTCTTTAAAAATACCCACTCCATACATTTGTTTGTCACAATTTTTTAATAACCAACTTTTAGATTAAGATTTGTTTAAAGTTTCAAATATGAATATGCAGCCTTGATCAACTAGTATTGGCCAGTCTCTACAAATCACTAGAACCAGAAACAAAAACAAGCACACTGCAGAACGTAAATACAGATATTCACCAGAAACAGGCAGGTACTGCTTAAGGTCATAAAAATGCCCGAGGCATGTTAGAGAACATACAAAGATGCATGAATAAAATATACTACTCCACTCTGAACAGGACCTGAGGCTCAGACAGTAACGTCTACACTTGTGTAAACATCACTGAGAAACAGTATACCAATAAAGAGACGTTGAATGAAGGATTGTCACATGCACGAACACGCAGGCGGCACACACATGTGTTCAATAAATTCCCAGAACAATTTAATGCAACACTCAAACCAAAGTGAAGCTGAATGCCAATTGAGAGCAGACTACAGAAGAGATCAGCCTAAGGTACAGAGCTCTGAGCGCTCAGGTTGCTTGCTGCAGCTTAAAACATCACTGATGGCTGTTTCACCCTCTGACTCACTAAATTAACTCCAAATCCATTTACCAGCGTTGCAGCTTAAGCCCTCCAGTTTGGTCTTGGTCTTCAGCGGTTTCTTCTAATTGAGTTTCTAGTAATTACCACAAGGCTAATGCATTGTAAGTGCCTTCTAAATCAGGGGTAAAGATTTTGTTTCAGACTACAAGTGCACATACTGATCGTATGCAACGGGATGTAAAAGAGGCTTTGGGATGTATGTGGAAAAACAACGCAGATCCATCCCAGACCTCTGTGACAGGCAGCTCACTCACATCCCAAAAAGAGGATGATCGTCTGTCACATGGCCTCGAACACCCTCCCCAACTCCCCCGCTTTCCCTTAATCCGTGACTTTGATTCAGGGTGCCAAGTAGAGGTAACCTGGCTGACACGCTGCATAGGCCCCTTTGATCTGTGCTGGCAAATTTGACAACAATGAGTGGGCTGACGCTGGTTGGATAAATACACTTGAAGCTGAACAAATTAGCTAGTTACCTCGTGTTACCCATTTCTTGATACCACTCAAATACAGAAATAAATCTGAGGACTTTGTGGAATCGGGATAGGATTGTGTGTGTGTACAGTTCCTCAGGCCTTTCATTATCTCAGCACTTTTTTTTTTTTCAAACTTTGTT